ACCGATTTATCGGTATTTATACCGATTTCCGAACTAGCTACTGATATACTGATGGTTCCTCAGAATACCGATTTGAGGTTTTTTACCGATTTTTTTTTAAATAATCAAAATGATTATTGTTTGCCCGCGCTTGAACTTCGGAGAAAATTATTGGGAGAGACTTCTATCTTTTTGAATATCACAAATTTTTTGAGCCTTTAACATTAAAAAAATCATAATTAAAACTGTCTTTTGGATACTCTTTCGATTAATGTTACAATTTCCTCACCGTTTTTGGCTACCCATGAATCGATAAACAGTCGATGGCTCTTTCTGGTAATTCCAGGGGAATCGGGAAATACTTTTTAAATCCTATTTAACTTCCTGGATTTTCTTCCAACTTTTCCCTGGAATTTTCTTCCACCGTAAATCGACCTTTCAGAAACTTATTTCGACTTCCCTTAGAAGCTTCTTCAGCCTTCGCTCGAATGATTCTTCCATCTTCTCCCGCCAGTTTTTTCAACTTTCCCGGAACTTCAGGGATGCTTCCAGATTTTGATTGCGGATCCACACTAGCTGCAGGAACTTTTAAGAAGTTCTGAAACTTCGGAAAAGTCCAGACTTTTGAGTAAGTTTCAATAAACTAAAGAATGTTTCAATAACTTCTGTTAAAATTCTAAAACCCGGTCCACCGAACTCCAGTGAACTTAAGAAAACATCATAAATATTTTGGATACTTCACAAGTCCAAAGGACTTTTGGCAAATTTAATGGACAGTTCCATAAGTTTCAGGAGAATTGAGAGAATTTTAGACATCAGGGCACATCAATAAATTTCAAGGAAATTGCTGAAATTTTAAAGGAGTTCCAACTCAGGCTATTTCCGAAAACTTCAGCAATGGTCCGCAAATTTAAATTTAAGAAACGTAAGGGAAGTTACACGAACATTAGCACATTGTGAGAACATTTTATGGGAAGTTCCGTGTTTATTAATGGCAGTGTCGATAATTTTTAAATATTTAAAAAATCGGGAAGATCAGAGAACTTCAATGCTGATGTTACAATAAATTCAAGAAAATTGTGATAGCGCTTAAGAAATTTCGTAATCTTCAAAAAAGTCTAGAGACCTTCAAAGAGAGATATTCCAGTAGTCCCATTATAATCAGGGAAGTTCCAAGTATTCCTAATAACTTTAAGAACATTACAAGAACTTTTAAGGAATTCCGAGGAAATATGTAATATGCCTACGTACTTTTCAGGAATGTTTCAAAAACTTCAGGACCATTATGGGGTTTTCAGGGATGTTTTATGACCTTTTGAAAAATTTTCTGGATCATTAGAACATCCCCCAAGAGCTCTTTTTCTTCAGGAATTATGTCCTTGTTTCTTTCGACTGTTCCGTTTGCGCTCTGGCTTCCGATTTCCTCCAGATTTTTTTTTCCAATCTACCTTAGGAAGTTTTTTTCGTCTTCTCCAGGAAGTTCAATTAAACTTCTCTCAGAAATTTCTTTTGCCTAGCTCTAGAATTTTGTCCAGTTATTTTTTTTTACTTCAATTGGAAGGTTTTTCCGAGCTTCTTCTGGCTTCCATTGTAAATGGCTATTTCTGGAAATTACTTCCGATTTCCGAAACTTGTCTGCCTTCCCTTGAATGTGAAATTCGATTTTTTCTGAAAGTTTCTTTAAATTTTTACCAGAAGTTTCTCAATTTATGTCTCAGAAGTTCCGCGGATGTTTTTCCGACTTCTCTCAGAACTTTCCTCAAATTTCCCTCAGGATAGGTTGTTTCTTCTTTCTCTGGATGTTGTTTTCAGTTTCCTCCAGAAGCTAATTCAAACATTCCCCGGAGTTTTCTTCCGTAATTTTCTGATCATAGTCCAAAAGTTAAAATATAAAATTAATTGAAATAGTAAATACCGATAAATACCGATTTCTTAAAACCTTTGATACCGATAAGCCTTAAAACATTCTGGCAACGCTGGTTGTAGCACCGACAAACCGACATGACACTTAATTTTGACTTATGCCCGAAAATCGTAAACGGCCGATTTAAATGTGCAGTGATCCGAACTGTCAAAAGCATAGGATTATTTTATATAGATAAAAATAATTTGTACAGAATAGATCAGACACGAACCAATTCATAACTTTTGCATGCGGGTTCATGGCTTAGCTAAATATTTCCCGCGAACACGGAGCCAGATGTCAGTAGTGTGCTTTGGTCATAAATTTCCTTGTTTTAGCTATGGTCATTCATGCTCGCATTCGGTTTGTCGGTGGTTAGAGCGGCCGACAGTAAACCCATAGAGGTAACTCTAAGACTAGTAGGTCCCGAAGAAACGTGCTCAACTTTTCGGCTCAGCTCTGGTACTATCTTCGGTCCCAAGCTAGAATTTTGACTAGAATGGGATACGTTAATCCATTTGCTTGGGACCAATAGGATTGTCCCATACTTTGCAAGACAAAACATCTATGATGCTACGGTGGTCAGCTTTACGGAAGTCATAAGAAACCGTAGCAGAATAATCGTCGAAATAAAGCACGAGTTTGTCCTCAACAGTGACAATTAGCGGAAGGTGATGTGGAACTAGCTTAGCTAGTGCACAAGGAGCCGAGGAAATTAATGGAGTCCTGTCCTGTGTGCTCACGAAGCAGAGGTCCCAACTACGATCATTTTCGTTAACTACATGGTTAATTTGAGAAAGCGTTGCTGCGCTGTAGTTGTCGAGAAGGCTAATAGCTCCTGCGTGAAATGTGGAGCTATCATGACTAGAATCAGGATCTGGATACAGGAATCCGCTATGAGATGGACTCCACGAAAGGCCTGGCAGATTGAAGTCACCCAAAATGAATATCTCATCAACTGGGGCGGCACTTTCTATAACTGTGAAAACTGACGGACAGTGAGTATCGATGAGTTCATTGTCCCGGACTCGATCAGGTGGAATGATCGGTTGAATGTACAGAGCGCATAGAAATAGTCCCCCCTATTCTGCAAGTCACGTGACTCTCTGTCACCGGTGAGGTGACAATAGTTGGAGAGTCACCTCACCGGTGACAGAGAGTCACGTGACTCGCAGAATAAGGGGGAGTGTGCGATCACCCGATTGATGGCTGTCCAAACCTGCTCGTCTGCTACGTCTATAAATAGTCCTATAGGATGACGTAGCTTATTTAAAACGAATGTTTGAGACTTTGAAATTTTGATGAATGGGATACTTTTGAAAAATGTGTTTAGTATCATAATCCTTATGATATAGGGCAATTTACGCACTGGGATGTATGTAATCTATTATTTTCGAGGGATCAGAATTAGAAATAAACGATCGCGATGTCCTGGAATTCGCTTAAATTTAGAATTCAAGAAGTGAAGAAATATTGTGGATATATGGGAAATGGATGTAACGTCGGCCTAAATGCCCCAAATTTGGTCCCATACATAAATTCAGCAATCGATAAAATTTTCAATAGCGACCAAAAATATCCATTAGTACCGTCCCAATAACGTGTTCAGCAAGATAAAATTGGTAGATAGCAGATTTTTAGCGATCCAATCTTAGATCCATAGGCCAACATTAGAGCCATTTCCCCTACGTCAAAAGATAGCACTTAAATTCTCAGCAACTTTCCCGAAGACACTAAAGTCTGGTTCACTTAGAATCCGGACAAATAAAACCAGATGTTTCTTTTGATAGATTTGCAAACATTAATTTAGTCAAAATGATGTTAATTTCAAAATTACTCCGGCGGCGTTCGCATGAACTCGAGGACTTTCTTTAGAATTCCTGCCATCATCTGCAGCACACTGGACTGGTCAACCTTAGTTTTTTCCAACATCGAGCCATCTGTGCAGCATCCTGAGTCGTATTTTCACAGTCCAGAGTCGTGGATTGATATCCTTGTCGACGAAAGCCACCTTATTGTCGGGGTACCACTGTAACACCTGCCGACTGTAGTGTCAGCATGCTAAATCTGGCCAGAACTTCATTGGACCTTTTGTGAGCCTTAATGGAAAGTATTATACATTTCTCCAGGCACTCTTGTTTATACAGCTTCGAGTCCATCGTTTTGTTGGTGATGAAAAACTTGGTTTTGTCCAGGAACCTGCCTGAAATCCATCTTGACATAGGTTTGTCGTCCTGTCAGGTACCGGTCATACAACTTCCGGGTGCATATTCTGACCAGTAGATGCTGCTTCATCGTTCTGTTCGGTTGGTTTGAGGCATTGAATGAACGGTAACCTGCTCGCAGACGGAGCCTCTGGACGGTACTACAGCTGGCACCCTATTTTTTTGGCGAGATCCCGATCCGAAAGTCCTCGGTTTCTCTTGATCGACCTCTACACCTTCCAGTTCAGCTGGACGACGTTTATCACACTCTTAGGATAACGAAACCGCTTGAGAACATCTCCCACGGTAGAAGCGGTAATTTTCAACCTTTTTGCGATATTTAGAATTGACCACGTCGGGTTTTCGCCGTGTGCAGGATCAATTTTCTTTTCTCGTCTTCCATCTGTTACAACTTTTTTAGTACTGCACGTATCGAGACGAAACTTTCACCACTGAAACACGTGTACTTTCAAAACAAATTGCTGTTAATACATTCCAAATCCGTCCACTAGAGGCGCTGGTATACCATAAATAAAGTGTCCGGATTCTAAATGGACCAGACTTTATATACCAAAAACCAAGTTGTCCCACTCAAACCTCGAACGATCACGTTAGTGCGTGTTTAGAGTGTTTAGACCACTGTGCGCTGTGTTCAAACGGTTCCAAATTGGGTCCTGATCATCCTCCCAAAAATGAGTTCTATTTCGAGCTCTATTTTTAGAAACTGACTGCGCAAACCATTTGAAATTTATATGGCATATATAGTTGTAGCTGAGATAATTTCGTGCAAGAACAGTCTACGAACTTTTACTGAGAGCAGACGATGAAGACTCGAGCAACATGGCATTAAAAGATAAACTACGTCCAGGTCTTTCGGCTGCTTAGAACTGCAAGTCAATTGAAACATTTCAACGTAAAAATAGTTTAAACAATTTAATTTTTATCATATGACACAATTTTATACCTTATGAGCAATACAGCTTGAAAACCCGCTACACAATAACATTAACACAGATGCATGCATATGTTTCTACTGAGGACTAACCAACATGTTAAAAAAAAAATAACTGCACTTCTACCCACAATCGATAGTTAGTTTTAGCGTTAAGAGACTTTATAGTTATTCTTATACAATATGTCTGACTTGTTTGAATTGATGGTTTTTCCTATAAAGCAGTGTGAGGTCGCTGCCCGACTTACCATTTTCGACAGCTTGCTACCCTCAACCCTGGTTATGGAAATGTTCTGTGGAAACTATTTCCAACGGATCGCCGGTGGCACAACCATCTCAAAGATCTTGAGACCGATGAGCCTACCGAAGCGTAGAATACTCTGAAGCACCCGCAGCACGATGGCCAACAGCAGGCGGACCAGCTGGAAGAAGTTTCTCGGTGGGCCAAGCACCCGAGACACCAGATCGGCTGGCCGGGGAAGCAAATTCTACAACTTGGCCTCGGTGACGGCCCCCTGGAAGGTGAGGTATTCGAACGGAAGCAGATCGCAGTACAACCGGAGAGTGCTATTCAGCGACCGGATGCGGATCGGGTCGATCGTGAAGATTGCGGCATTGTTTCTGCAATGAAAATGGGACAGGTTAGAGGTTGTGGGAGTTTTTTTTAGGAGTGATTGGACTTACTCTTTCGACTTGCTGATGGCATCGAGGCCGACTAGAGAATGAAGGGCCAGATTGATACTGTCTAGCGAGAGGCAATACGGGTGGACGTTTTTCTCCTTCCCTAGAAGAAGCTGCTCCACGAATTCCTGCACCTTGGAGAGATAGTCTTTCTCTTTGAATGTAGAGTTGTAGAACTGAAAGGGTCAGAATGTTAGGAATTACAAGTCAGATTAAATTGGCGGAAGTTTCGACAAACCTGATTCATCAATACGGTAGTGACCTGCAAGTAGCAGCAGAGGAATGGTCCAATCAAGCTGAGATAGATGTGCTCACTATCTATGTTGCCAGATAATCGAACGGCCATATCGTCTACAACTCGCTCCAGGAGACCAGCTTCAACAAGATGCCTCAAGGCCTGATCAAAGTCCTGCTGTTGCCGCCTTGCATGGAAGACAAACTCTCCGGCGAAGAGGTTACGCAGCTCTTCAATCGATTGCTTCAAACTGTCCAATCGCACTAGTCCGCTTCGGGAAAGATGTTTGACAACCAGCAAAATCAACGCCGGTTGAGCCAGCCAGTGGAGACACGGATTACAGTACAGCTGGAGAGTGAAAATTGGCAGCGACAGTTTCATCACCACATCTGATAGGTTGTGTCCTTTTAGTTTCCGTTTGTCGACTTGGCTGAAGTCGTGATGGGATTTTGCTATAGTGAGCACCTCATCCCGGGTCAGTTGGAGGATGTTTCGATGGACTGCCAGAGCTTCCGTGACACTCGTTCGTATTAGGTGATTGTCCAGTTCTGGATTTCCGGTCTTCTGAATGGTCGTAACCGCTCCAAGATCCTTGAAAATATCCAATAAATTGCTTAGACCTTCCACCAAATCTGGAAGCGTGACCGATTGCCCAAGATACTTCTTATAGTTGTAGTAGATCGATATCAGATGGAACGTGGTTAGGACAATCTTCTGCTGTTGCAGATGTACCACATCGAATGCGAGATTCTGAATCATTCCCAGTTCCGACTTGGACAGTGTCTGGATATGAGTTGGATTGATTGCGTGCTGGAACCGATTGAGCTCATGACCGAAGTATTCCTTTACCGAAATCGGTTCCCCAAATTCAAAGTAGATAGATCCGTAGTTCTCTTTTAGAATGCTCATGGCTTTCAGTAGACCCTTGGTGGACTCCTTAGGCTTCGGAACCCCAATCAGTTCATACACAAACAGCTGTTCCTCCAACGGTCTATCGTACGACACGCTAACCGGCACCACCAGCACGTCCGGAATCTCGCCCATGAACAGTGGTTCCAGTGCCATCGATAGTAGCCCGATTTTTGGAGTCAGCGCCTTGTTGCTCCTGCTGCGGGTTCCCTCGACGAAGAATTCCACCCCGTTGTCGAACACCCGCACCAGCTGACGCATGTACTCCTTGAACACGGCCCAATAGATGGCATCGTTGCCGAAAGTACGTCGCATGTAGAACGCTCCGGTGCTCCGCAGGATGCTGCCCATGAAGGCCATCGAGTGGAAGTCCATGCCAGCGGCGATTCCCGGGATGGCAATGTTGTAGCAGAACGACACGTACGACATGAGGATGAAATCGCCGTAGCTTCGGTGGCTCGGCAGATACAGCACCGTCTGGTTGCCGAATTTTGATTTCAACTGTGGGGTCAAGAGGGATGAGTATGGATGAGTGAGGGGCTGCATTTACATCATCTGGACGGAATTTTAATTATGATGAATTCTTTATTCTGACTGACATTTTTAGAAGCATTGATTGAGATTAAGATTTCCAAGGATCCCTACTAGGGTAGTTGGTCACAACAATTCTGACCGACATTTGAAGGATTGTTGACTGGAGGTATTAAAAGTTATGTGTCGCGAAATAATTCAACTAGGATCTATGGAAACGAAAAACATGTCATTGTGGTCAGAAAAGTAAGCTTTTCAATAGAAGTATTGGACGTATTTCAATTAGCCATCGAAATCATCGAAATGAATGCAAGGGCTCTTCCAGACATGTCTGCACCTACCTGCTGCAGCTTGGTTTCATTCACGTGCATCCCACTGAGGATCCGGCCGAAGATGAAGTTCAGGATCGTACCCAACGTCCGAATGATTGGTAGACTTTCATCCAGTCCTATTTCGTCCAGAATCGCTTTGACGTTGCTCACGAGCTCCGCTCTCTTCTTCGAATCGCCTCCTGACTCCTGTGGTAAAAAAAAAGACAATCACGACCCATTCTACAAATTATGCATTCTACGGTTAACTCATACCTTCTCGATCAAGGTCTGAATCCGCTCGCTAGCCATCACCAGCTTCTTCAGCTCGGCCGGTGTCATGTGGCTGTCCTTCGGGTAGGGAAAGGCCGGCCCGTAGTGTTTGGTCATGTCCGTCAGGTCACTCATGCCGGGTCCGAGTAGGTTCTTGAAATTGTCCAAATAGTTTCCGGCAGGAGCGTCGCCATGCTGCCTAACCGGTGGCGGTCCTGACGGTGGTGGTGGGGACATTGCGGTGGAACCAGTTGTTTATGGTAAGTACTACGAAAGAAGGAAACGGATAAAAACAAAAAGTGAGTGAGTCAATAAGTCACACGTTATTGGGTGTATGTCTGCATGTATTGAACAAATTTGTATCTTTAAGGAAGGCTATTAGTTTTTTCTCTTTTTCCTCCTCGTTACGAAGTACTGTTTGCAGACAAGAAAGGTCAATGTTGTATTTTGCACGAGTATCATGATATTCCCTGCAGTCCAGCACAATAATCAATAACAATGGAACGTTGATGACGGTGCCGCAGCATTCACATACGGGTGGGTCTGTTCTTTTGATCAGGCACTTGTGGGTAAGTCTGGTATGTCCGATCCTTAACCGAGTTAGGATCTGTTGATCTACTGGATTGTTTGGTGTCATTCCATGGATTAGTGATAAATTTTATCTCACGGAGCTTAACATCCCGTGATGTATGCCAAAGATGGTCCCATCGTTGTCGTATAGCACGTTTGATTTCCCTTATCGCGTCCATGGCTGGTATTTGGATATCGAGTGGAACGTTGTTTCTAGCTTCACCAGCAAGACGGTCTGCTATAATATCGACAGTGAGCATGCAAAAGTTGTTCGTCGATTTTCTCTTTTGTTAATAACTTGCTAGAATTAACGTTTCTCGGTGCGTTTGCTGTTGCTTTTGATAACCAATACAACCTGTTACAACTCAGCATTTAACCAATTCTAGAAAATTATTTCGCTTAGCTGTGGCAGTGCAAAGAGAAAATCGATAAAGAGAATTGATCATCGCGTATACGCCCTTATGCATGCTCACTGTCGATATTTCCTTCGATGCCTGCATGGCCGGGGATCCAGCAAAATTGGACGTTTTTGGATTGTATCCATGGGTGTTTGGATCTACCCGTCTCCAGCGCAGATAAACAGCTGGCAGAGTTCGTTAGAATGGTTATTTGTGTAGGTTGAGGGTGGTTGAGGGTGTAGGCTTCTGCTGAGAAGACGCTGCAGCATCTTGGCAGGGCGTCGGATTTGGTGGCCTGCGCCGACTGTATCGTCGCCTTTGGATCCGTCAGTGTATAGCAGGGTACGTCCTTGAAAAAGTCGCTCGGTTATCTCTTGTACTATAGGACGGACTTTTTCTGGGGGGTCCCCAGCCCTAGTAAACTTTTTGACATCCCAGATGATCGTTGGTTTTGGAACATTTCATTCGCGGTCTGTGTTCCTATAACGTTGGCAGATTTGGGGGATAGTTGCGTTGGTTTCTTCAGTGAAAAGCTCTCCTGTTCTTTGGAAGACTGGAAGATCGGAAGCTAGTTTTCTCCATAAGGCGAATATATAGTCGTGCTAACGACTGTAGGACCAGCAAGTCGAACGGTAACACGCCAGCCTCGGCCATGATAGCGCGCGTGGGGCTGGTGACGAAAACTCCGGATGCGAGTCTGACCATCCGGTTGTAGCTTGAGAATAGTATTTTAACCATGTATCCTCCTCTGCTGACTAGACCCATAGAGGAGCAATTCTCTACAGATTGACGAATTTTTTTATTTTTTTTTTTTAATTTGTCGGCTCCGATTTTGATGAAAATTTGCACAGTTCGACAGTGAGCATTCATAAGGGCGAATACGCGATGATCGATTCTATTCATCGATTTTCTCTTTGCATTGCTACAGCTAGGCGAAACAATTTTCTAGAAATTGTTCAATGCAGAGTAGTAACAGGTTGTATTGGCTATCAAAAGCAACAGCAAACGCATCGAGAAACGTTAAATCTAGCGAGTTATTAACAAAAGAGAAAATCGACGAAGAGAATCGATCATCGCGTATAGGCCCTTATGCATGCTCACTGTCGAGTTGTTCTTTTTTAGTAAAGATGCCAATTTGTGTTATCAGTTCTTCAAATTGAATCACGACTACTTTTCTAACAGGGCCTGTGTAAAAATAGTACTAATGAGTTAAAAAATTTATATTGCTGAAACGCTTTGTTCGATTAATTTGGTGTCTTGAGCAAAGTTGTAGATATTATTTTGGCAATAATGTTAAAAATATACACTGTAAAAAAATTAGTTTGTTTCAATGAAAAAAATATATTTCTTATTAAAAATATTAATTTCTCAAAAAAAAACATTTTTGAAAATTTTCGTTTTAAGCCTCATTGAAGCTCATAATATTTGCTACAAACTGGCAAAGTTTGGTGATGGTTAACTCAAAAACAAAAAAGTTATGATTTTTTGAAAATTTCACGATTTTTACATTTATATTAAAAACACATGTTTTTCAACCGTGTATATTTTTTCAAGAATTGCATTTTAATTTTGCACAACTTTCTCGAAGACACCAATGCAATCAAGCAAGCCGTTTTTGCAATATATATATGTTTATTTCATTAGTGTTTTTCTACACAGGCCCTATTGAAAAGTTAGGATTCATTACATCTGATACCATGAAAAGGTATCGTTACTAACAAAACTAAAAAATTCATTTGATGAATATTGAGCTAGAACTAAATAAAAGTGAAATGATGCTCAAACTAGCGATTAATTTTCTTTTTTATTCATTGTCTTCAATTTTGCATAGTTGTATCAGTGATCTTAACGGTAATAAGTCAAATACTCAACACTGTAGTAGTGAACACCAAAAACATCTGTCTGTACCTAATGTAGAAATTATACCTATCGATCTGATACTTAAATGAGTTTGAATGGTGAAAACAAGCAGTTGATCACAAAGATTGCTTTTTACCGCATACATCTTAAAAAGTTATCATAGGAAATAAGTGTAACACCATTTGGTTAAAACGTAAGCATAACCTTCAGTTGTATTTCAATGAAATCATTTTTAAAGATTATTATTTTTAATTTTTTTTTAATACAGGAAGTAACATGAGTGAACGAGCATGTTTTATCAGGTGCATTCGGCCGTTCGAGGAAGTCAAGTGCTCGAAAGAGCTGAGGAATATTTCGAATATTACCATCCAGAAATTAAAATCGATTGGATATTCTGAAGCATCAGGATTGAATACTGGTTTTCGCATTTGCACGTCCTGTCGTCTTCGTGTTGATAAACAAGCTCTTTTCATCTCAAACGAGGAACAGCATGTTGCCGGAAGCTCAAAGATGCCAACTACAGTAAAAGTAGCTGTCGTACCGAGCTGTGAAAGCCTTACAACTGTACCATCAATGACATCAGTTACTTCAGTTCAATCGTACCAAGAATTTACTCAACCAGTCAACATCGAGATATTCAACCGAGGCATTGCAGGAATCCAGGTATCACCGATAGACGTGGGAAAACTCAACTACATCCACTACCCCGAAAAGAAGCACCGTGAAATCAACGAAGGTATTAGAAAGAATCTTTTCAACTTCTCGCCTGAGGCTGACGAGTGAGTGAACTCAAAGAAGTTTTAGAAAACATGAAGAAAAGTTTTCCAATGCATCCACTGCAAGAAGTGAAAAATTATTAATTTTATCGTTATTGCCTTATTCATGGTCAACACAAAAAGTTATGGATCAATTTAATGCTAGTAGATATATTGCAACAGAGGCTAAGTTGATAAAGGAAGGTCATTCGTCAAAAACCGCAAAATATGGCACAGCCTTAAGTGATGAAACAAAATTGGCAGTCATAAATTTTTTTGAAGATGATGATATAAGCCGGGCAATGCCTGGTCAAAAAGATTATGTGTCTGTGCAGAAAGAAGGAAAACGACAAGTCATTCAAAAAAGATTACTAATTATGGCTTTGAGAGAAGCTTATAAACGATTCAATGAAATTCACTGCAATGTAAAAATTGGATTCTCTTCATTTGCAAAACTCCGCCCTAAGCAATGTAAACTTTTAACCAGCTCTGGAACCCACAATGTTTGCGTGTGCACAACGCATGAAAACATCAATCTAATTTTACACAGTTTGAAAAAACTTAACCATTTAAATGATGTAAAAACGTTCACTGACAGCCTACTTTGTGAAAACAAGACAACATATTGCTATCTACGGTTTTGTGAAGATTGTCCAGACTCTTCCGCATTAGAAAACATTTTATTAAAACAATTAGAGGAAAAATGCATTTATCAGCTTTTATTTGAACAGTGGGTTACCACGGATAGATGTGATTTAGAAACTATTGTAAAGCCTGCAGACGAGTTTGTTTCATTTTTCTGCTTGAAATTGACAAGTTTGATACCACATGATTTCATAAAAACACAGCAATCTAATTTTTTGAAAACTACACGAAATAATTTGCAAGAAGGTGAATTTTTAGTTACTTGTGATTTTTCCGAAAACAACAGCTTTGTGTTACAGGATGAAGTTCAGTCTCATCACTGGAATGTCCAACAAGCTACCATTCATCCATTTGTTATATATTTTAGAGAAAATATGCAAGTTAAACATTTAACTTTTATTATAATTTCTGAAGAGTTAAGGCATGACTCAGTGGCTGTTAACTTATTTATTTCTAAAATGATAAGTTTTTTACGCATTAACCAAAGTAAAAATATCAACAAGATTTATTTTATGTCCGATGGAGCCGTGTCACAGTACAAGAACCGGAAAAATTTTGCTAGCCTTTGTAAATTTAAATCAAAGTATGGAATTGAAGCCGAATGGCATTTCTTTGCAACATCACATGGGAAAGGTCCTTGTGACGCTATTTGAGGTACAATAAAACGTATGGCTACAAGAGCAAGTTTGGCCAAAGAACGTGAACATCCAATAAAAAATGCAAGAGAGCTTTATAATTGGGCAAATAATCGAAAAGAAGAAGAATTAACAAAATTATCATTTAGTTTTGCCACAACAGAGGAATACGAATGTATGGCTTAACACCTCAACGAGCAATATAATAATGCAAAAATAATTCAAGGAACTCAAAAGTTTCATTCTTTCATTCCTGTATCAGAAAATAAAATTAAAGCCAAACGATACTCAAACTGTAATCATAATGATGCCAAAATATTCGATGTATTTAAGAAGTGATGTAAATAAAAATAGAAAGTAAGTGTATTACAATGAAAATAAATTATGTATCATTTGTCCATAAG